GAAGAGCTTTAATGCCTTATACCTTGAGATTTCAGCTGAGAGATAAGTTCTTTGCCAGCCATAGCTGGAGCATTGATGTATTCAAGGGGAAGATCACATCTGACCTGCTTTGATTCGCCCCCCAGACGTGCTTTCCTCCTCCAGATCTTTTACGGTCATGATTGCCTTCCAATAGAGTACCAAGTTGACAGCTTTCTGGAGTCCTCTGAAGTTGCAGGTAGCCACATAAAAGCAGACTGCTGCTGTCTTGTATCTCTTGAGTTCATGTCAACATGTAGGAAGTAAAACTAAATAAAGCAGGATTTTCATCCTTGTATTTGAGGGCGAGTGTCTTTGAAACATGCCTCAGGGGCAGATAAACACAAAGAGTAGAAGGTGATGATGTGAACAGAAAATACCGGTAGGAAAGTTCAGTGAGTAGCCTAAGCACAGCCTTACCAGCTTTGTATCTCTGCTCCTGTTAGCTCAAACTTTAGTTCTATGTCAGTGGGCAAATAAACCCACTTCCAAAATAGCAGATCTCCAGAAGTATGTCTGACTTACAGGAGACTAATAGGTTTCTTATGATTCTAAATTATACATCACAGCAGTTTTATTAGTGTTTCACAAGCCTTGAAGTGCTGCTTTTATTGCGCACAGAAGTACTGAAAACATTTATCAGATCCCTTAATGGGAGACATGGAGGCCTTTATAGCTCATCCCAGTCTATTTGCTTTTGGTATTTGACAGTGCAGATATTTTTAATATCTAGCCCAGGGTGAGCATGTAACCATCTCCAAACCATTGCCTGTGTCTAGACATGTTTTTATCGGTAATTCATTCTCCATAGCTGAGCAGAAGGCAGTGTAATTTATGGATACTGAAATTGGGAATTGGCAGTAAGGCCGTGTTTCACAACTGAAGCCGTCTAGCGTGAGGGGTGTTTGTGCGTAAGCAACTGGATGGAAGAGCTGCTTTCTGTCCACTGGATCTGCCGATGGTTTGAGGGGTCTGTATCGAGTGACCCATGACTGCTGGCAGAGCGGGAATAAAGCAATATTTCCAGCTTAAAACTTGTATTTAGCAGCCCAAATAAATTCTGATGTTTAGCACTGACGTTACTATGGAGGTGTAGGAAGTCGCTGAGATTTTTGTGAGGAATCTTCCAATATAGTTTCGATGCTAGTGAAAATGGGGGGAGCACAGTTGTAACTCGGTTATTTCTTCTTTGTCTAATTTAGGGATAGCAGTCTTGTGAGGGAGGAGGTAGGGAGAGGAAATCTTTCCCTGCTATGACTTTGTCGTGTTTGAAGAGCAGGAAACTCTCTGAAAAACTTTGGAAATAGTATGAAAGCTGCGCTTACTACACACAGAAGGGCTATTTCTGCATTTTATCCACTCCTGCTCCCTTTTTCTGTAAGTACGCTTATGAGCAGAGCTCCTAGTCATCATTGACTGGGATTCCTGCCTTAACTACAGCCCTTCAGCCCTTGCATTTGTACTGCCGTAGCACAGACTGTTATACGTACGACAGAATTGGCTTGGTTTCAATTATGCGAGGAAGCGTTGTAACCGCAAAGCCCACTGTGATTTGCCACGATCGGTTAAAACAACTGCATGCGTTGAGCCTCCAGGATGTCGGTACCCTCTGTGGGGGTGAAGAGGAATGAAGCTTTGATGTAGCTGGGTGAGATTAGCCTAGAAAACTATTGAAAATGGGGTGAGGGTCTGTGGGTGAGAGGGAGAGTCTGCCTGAGTGCTGCTCTTTCTTATTGGTAACGATGTAAAAACACTGGAAATCGTGGGCTGTGATGCAATTAATAATTCAGAGCTGTGCTGCACTGTGTGAGAAATGGTTTAATCAGCCTCTGTTACACATCCACGAGCTGGCGGAGGTGTTTAATTGCATAGATCAGGTTTGTGATTATTTATTTTCCCTCTGTGCACCAAAACATGTGACAGACTTGAGCTATTTTTTTTTATTTAAACAGTGCTTCCCAGCCTGGGGAGCCGACTGCGGTAATGAATGAGAGAGGAAGTTCTTGGAAAATAATAAAATAGTAACTAAGTGTCACAGAATGCCTGCAAAATACTGTAGTACAGAGCTGCTTGAAAGGCAAAGATCTCATCCAGGCCTAAGCTTTTAAGTAAACTTGGTCCAGACTTTGTCTCACTGTCTCCTGAATTCCAGTGGGATATGCTAATATATGTAAAATGTGCAATGGTTGTGTATATTTCTTGTACTACTCTCTTGATCTTCCAGAGAGCTGGTTCAAAATATTTTGAACAGTCTAGCTAAGAAAAGATAAAAACAGCTCCTCTAGATCAGTTCTGGGAATGGTGGATTTGGGGCAGGTCTGGCTGGTGGGATGATTAACCAGGCAGCGTCCTCCTTGCTTCTTTTCACCTGTGTTTCCTCTGGTGCCACTTGTGCCCGTGTGGTTTTTTTAATTGTCAGAGACAGAAGTTAGGCACCTGGATTTGCTTGCATGTTTAAAAGGAGAAAAAAAAAAAATTAATTTAAAGCTTTAGGCTGAACGCTAATTTCAGGCTCAGGGACCAAGATTGTGTCAGGTTTATGGATACCTTAACTAGGGGCTCAGTCCAGTGCTCTGAGCGAGTCCAAAATGATCCTAGGGTAAGCAAATGAGTTCGAAACTGAGTTCAATGAGTTTTGGAAAGGCTGCATGAATCAAAAGTGTTGCACTTACATTTACAGACAGCAGCCCAGCGCTTCCCAACCAGCTGGGTTTTGCTCAAGGAGTGTGACAGAAGGCACAAAGCAGTCACTGAGCCCGACCTGTGTTATCCAGGGCCCCAGCTCCCACCCATCCCCTGGCAGAAATTTGAAGCAGGGGAGCAAAACACACTGGAGCGTGTCCAGAGGAGGGCAATGAAGTTGGTGAAGGGTCTGGAGCGCAAGTCTTATGAGGAGCGGCTGAGGGAGCTGGGGTTGTTCAGCCTGGAGAAGAGGAGGCTGAGAGGAGACCTCATTACTCTCTACAACTGCCTGAAAGGAGGCTGTAGCGAGGTGGGGGTCGGTCTCTTCTCCCAAGTAACAAGCGATGGGATGAGAGGAAATGGCCTCAAGCTGCGCCAGGGCAGGTTTAGGTTGGATATTAGGAAAAACTTCTTGATAGATACGGTGCTTGAAGACATGGTATAGATGGACTTGGCAGTGATAGGTTAACGGTTGGACTCAATGATCTTAAGGGTCTTTTCCAACATTGATGATTCTATGATTCTATGAAAAAGAACATTTTTGTTGCCAGCTTTGTCTTGTCGAGGGGTTTTCCTGCATTGCAAAGAAACCTGACTAGAAGGCATTAGAAAACTCCAAAGGTGCTGATTTATTTCCTTTTTGAAAAATAGCTTGACACAAGCGAGTGTTTGCAAGGAGGGAAGCTGGAGCTGTCAGAGTAAGCAGAGGATGTTGTTTCAAGCTGTATTTATTTTTACGGAGTGGTTTTTAGTTGAGTATGCTACACCGAGATGAATAGCCTATTCCCTGCTCTTCCAATATCCTTTCCTGTTTAGAAGGATCTTCTTTAATATGCTTATTGGAGTTTCCTGGAAAGTTGGTGCCTTTTCTGGCGAAGCAGAAAGAGGAACCAATTGCATTTGATTCCTCAAATGCACCTACTCCCTGAAAAGCAGTTTTAGAGTGGATAAATCAACATTAGCATGTTTCTTTCTAGCTGTGATTGCCAGCAAAACCCTTGCCAAGGGGGAAGCAATGTGTCTTTACGCTGTGCTCGGTCACAAGCTGAGCTTTGTACACGAGCAGGAGAATACGCTGCATCTGTGGGGCTTCCTAGACATGGGTGAATCCTTCTCGGAGCTTTCTCTTGTACTTTGGTACCGGGGAGGTCTTGTGGTTAGAGGGGGGGAAAGGATCAGGGTGCGAAGGGCCCTTGCTCTCCTCCTTCCCTGTGTGTTTGGGATTATGGTACTCAGCTGAGTCTGTGTCATGGGGAGGGGATTTTCCATTTTTCACATTTGAAAAGTGGCATCCGTTTGTTCAGTGAAGGAATGTCTTCGCTGAGAGCAGAAGTTCAGGATATCAGGGGATGAGCGTCTGGTGTGGATGATGCTGGAGGGAACAAGTTGACAGGTTGGGGGGCTTGGCTGAAGCTACCAGCTTGGCTGAAGCACAAAGGCCCAGCTGGGTGTAGTGCAGGGTGCCAGGCTTGGCTTAATGGATGGCTTTTTTCTACGGGCAGTCAAGAAACTGTGAGGCTTTCTGTCCAAACTGGTGATTTTCTGTCCAAACTGGTGATTTGTGCTTGCATAATGAAACGTCAGTCAATGCTTTCTGTGATGTTGTTCCCCCCATAACCTGGAAAACCTCAACCCTTAAATCATAACCAAATCTAAGAATAAGCATGGTCAAAATTCAATTTAATAACTAGGCATATTTCATATTGTACTCTATGTGTAGTAGCTGATGACTTTCTAATCTCGAACTGATTTCCCTCTTCTTCCAGTATGACAAAAGATATAGCTGTCCTTTGTGCCTTCAACCTGATTGAGCTAAACCGTCTGCTTTCCTGCTGGGAAGAAACATTAGGAATAAGAAGCCCTTTATTCCCAGAGGCAAATATTGTCCTTTCTCATCCAAATGATAGTCTTCAACAGATTAAGCATCTGTTGTCTAATGTCTCACTGGAAGGAGGAGTCAGCATGAACTTCCTAGGTAACAAACTGGTGTGAATTTTCAGAAATATTCTGTTGTAGCTGCATGCAGGTGTTTCAGTTACGACCGCTTTGTTGCCCTTGCCAAGGGCTTTTTGGCCAGCTTTTTCTTCTAGACAGAGAGGAAGAGCACCCCAAGATACCTTTGGGCCCTAGTATGATGCAGGCTGAGTGTTAACAGTATTTCTGGATTTTCTACATTTTGCTTTCAGGTGTCCTTTTTCTTTGTGCCCTCTTTGAACATTCTGTCTTGAGGAAAATAACTTCTGTGCCCAAGGAATAACAGTCACTGGGTCCAACTGCTAATGCTTTATTTTTCTCTACAGAAAGAAATTCAAGCCATGAGTCAGTGCCATCACCCTAACATTGTATCTTACTACACATCGTTCGTGGTGAAAGATGAGCTTTGGCTGGTGATGAAGTTACTTAGTGGAGGTGAGTGGTCCAGCTTCTTTACCCTAAAAGGTACCGTAAAAAGCTGTCTTCCTGTAATACCCTTTCCCTTGTTTGCCTCCTAAGCTTCCCGCTTGTGAATTAAGACATTTGAATAAAAATACTTAACTTCAGCCCATTCAGCTCAGAAATAGCTTCTCATGTTATGTACATCAGTAGTAAGACCTAACTACACAGCTGTGCTGGCTTTTTTCCCCCTCCTATTTTGTATATTTGACAGTATTTCACAGAGTTAGTTTGTATGTGTTTGACTCACTTGAGTGTTTGAAAACTGGAGCATATGACTTAAGATGTTCAGACAAGAAAAACTTAAGTGCAGATGTAGTAGTTGAAACCGCCCTAAACTTCTAGAAAACAAACCTAACTGTCATCTTCTCAAATGATGGATCTGAAATGGTGCTTCTTGGGTCATGTTAACAGAAGTTTCTTCATCTTGCTCTGTAGGCCCAGGATAAGCTTTAGAATGAGAGAAGTGCGTAACTAACCCCACCGAGCCCAACCATTTCCACTAGCTTTATCGCGAGAATTGCAGCTCCTCTTGCAAGGCTGGTTTCTTGACCTTTTTCTCACTTGCAGCTTGGAGGCCTGCATGGTGCTGATGGCTTGTTGGTCACCAGCCATTCTGTTGATTTTAACTTACTTACATGTTGGCTACCCCCGTGAGGAACTTTTAAATCACCTCTATTTTGGGCAGAGCTACTCCTGTAATGTTAGTGTATGGCCTTAAAAAGGGAGAACACCAGTGTGGGTGCAGCTTGATTTGTATAGTGTCAATCCTCAGAGCTTGGATTACTTTGCCCGCTTGTTCTAGTTGACAAAATAACTGGGAATACTTGGGGCAATTTCAGATTACTGCCTAGTTAACACAGAGCCAGGGAAACATCCCCTTTTGGGATTTATTCTCTCAGGCACTGGAGAAACAACTTGGGGTTTTTTTTGTTTTGTTTAGTTTTGTTTTTTGAGGGAGAGTTTGAAAACTTCTTATCAGTAGTGATTTATTTGATTTCATAATATTTTCTAGGATCCCTGTTTCAGTTACAGTCGAGACAAGAAATAGAATCAAGTTCTGGATGATAACACAGAGGACTTGCTAAATCTTAGGCCTGCCTTTAGGAAGACTTGATTTTCTTGGCATCCTAGTGAAAAGGAATTGAAAGCTAAACATGCACATGCACACACACACATCCACCCACCCCCCGTTTTCCTGCTTTTTAAAAAAACTTCTTGGCCTCTCTGTTCTTGGCTTAATACTGAGGACTGTAAAATACCAGAAGATGATGTGGAAAAATCTGGTTAAACCTGTTGGCTTTTTCCACAAGAGCTCAACAATGACCATAAAACATGTGTCTTTGAAGATCATCTTTAGAGAATTTTAGCAGTTCTCTTGGGGGTGATCAGATTTCATGCTAACTTAAGTCTGTCTTCAAGGGTTTTTAACGTCTCATGTGCTCATGTGTCATTAAGCAATACCCTCTCTTTTCTTGGAGGGACACGTAACAGGTCATTAATGATGGCTGTTTGTGTGTGGAAAAGAATCTCCTGCCAGCTTAGTGCAAGTAGTTTTTCTGTGTGTTTAAAAAATGTATCTATGGGAAGGTTTCCACAACACAAGGAAATGGTGTTTCAGAGGAAGGAGAGGGAGCAGCAATGTTCTTGGCCTTCTTCGGGAGAGTACACAACCTCTTTGAAGAAAATGCACAGCTGCCGTAGCTAGTATTTTCACAGCGGTTTTCTGTCAGAACCAAGTCGGCTCATCCTTGAATCTCCAAATGTTGTTTCTGTTTCTCCTCATTTTTGTGTTTTTTTGTTTGGGTTTTTTTTTTGTGTAATGCTGGGGAAAAAAAGCGGACTCATTATGGACCATCTTTTCATTATCAAATGTGAAGACCACACTGGAGAATTTCTGGAAAAATTATCGTTGCTTCAGAACCAGCCTTGTGGTGGTGTGAATGATGACCTGCTTGTCGTTTGATATTTACTTTGAATGGGCTCCTACGTTATACAGGCTGATAATTGACCCTTGTGCAGCTCTGGCATTAAGTAGGGTACTTCCAGTAAAGTAGTGCTGTGAAATCTCACTGCTGCTTACTCTGTTGCATATGTTGAAGACTAGGATCATACAATAAAAGATGGATTAGTAGCAGTGTAATCCCACCCTCCCCCCCTGCCAACATTTCCATGATCCAGTGTTAAATTTTCTCACTTAAAGTGAATCATTTGGGGGCTGGGGGAATTGCTAAAATAGACAGAAAGACTTTGTGAATGACCTGTCACTACTTTTTATGGAGGAGGGTACCTTGGAGGTACTTTTCAGCTGTTTTCACTTTATATTTTTTTTATGGTTGTACTGCAGAAGTCTCGTTTTAGATCTTGTAGTCAAATTCTACAGGACAGTCTTGAGGATGGGAGAAGAAACTTGTGCATTGGAGGTTTCTGACTGAAGAGCTTTTTCATTCACTTTTAATGAGACTATTGCCAGTTGTTTTTAGGCTGGGTGATTTATGTAACAAGAGGCACTTTAAAAACTGCTTCTCATTCCTTACAGCTTACTTCTTATCAGTAATAAAGTGGCTAGTTTTGTGGTCATCTGTCATCCAGTGGGAAGAATAATGATCTGAGTTTCTCAACAGGAAAAACCTTTCGAGCTGTTTTTATAAACCAGAAAGAAAAAAAAAAAAACAAACCAGGGTGCAGCCTAACTCTTCCGTTCCATCTAACTATTCAGAGAGCATGGGCTGAGATTTGTACATCCCAGTAAGCACATATAAAATCTGTTTTGATGTCCGTTCTGTATGTTGATTGTGGCTTTTGTACTTGAGAATTTCTTCTGGGTAAAAGTTCAGAATCTTATTGCTTCTATTCCATCAGTGTCAGTCTATGCTGGCATGTGTTTCCAGGCTGAAACTAGTTTTAATTTCAGCCTACTTACACTGACCTTATTACTTTGATAAACAGCCCACAAGACAGACCAGCCTGTAATGCAAGCCTTGTTTTGTTGTTGTAAGTGCAATTTAATTTATTTTCTGGTTGCAGTCATTTTGTTGAAAGCTTAACCTAGCCGTATATGCAAGTATTTTAGAAATGTCTCTAAGGGAAAATAGACTAAATCCATGAGGCGTTATTGTCTGCTAACAGTGCCTTGCTCCTCTGAGCAGCCAGCTGGTGCACGCAAAGGTAGCCTAATTGCCTGACGGGCATTGTTGCTGAAACTGAACTGTTTGTCTCTGCTTTGCAAGTCCTGTGTCGGTGGAAGAAACCGTTTGCCATCTTTGAAAGTCGTCAGCAGCGAGGAGGTAATGTGCTGGTGAGCTGTAGGGGAGTAACACGTAAAACTGCTAATCTGCATCGGAGCCAAGTCAGATAGGCTGGTTGAACTTCTTGCTGAAAGCAGTTTGAACTGGCAGATTTGACACCGAAGCAGATGTAGAGTGTAGTTGTTGCTGATGGCAGAAATGTGGCTGTGATGATACCCAGCTGGTAGTGACAAGAGGTGCTGGTGTGTCCAGTTCCTCTGACGCCCTCTTTCAGACCTGGTGATGTGTGCCTGAGTCAGGTTTGTGAAGTATCTGCTGCTTCTGTTCCCTTCAGTAGAAACTTCAGACCCTTTCCTCCAGTGACAAAACTGGTTTGTAGGGATCTAAGCTTAGCAATGTCAACTTGGCACCCCGGCCTTTTGGTCCGATGTTACTCCAAACTAAACTCCAATGGCTATTTCTAGACAACTGCTGACCTCCTCTTTGCCTCGCTGGCATTCCCTTGTTGTGAATTTTACTCATGCCTTTTTAAAGCCATCTGAAGCCCAGTCCTGCTCTCTAACTCCCGCAGCTTTTTAGTAGGAAGAGGAGCAGCTGTCCTTTTGTTCTTGTGCTTTTTCTGACTGCGACCTGTTTGCTCCTCTAAATTCTCACTGGTTTTAACAAGAGCTCGCATTTCACAGGTGACGCAAGGCCGTGGCTAACTGTACAAAACAGTTGCCTGTATGAAGCAGCTGCCTGTGGTGGCTTGCTACATCACACAACAATTTTTACTGTCCTAGCCTACAGCAGATGAGACCTCCAAAATATTTTTAAACTATGTAAATCCTTTAAATATTAAAACATTTCCAGATAGGGCTCTTGGATCTTCTGCCTTCTTGAAGACTCCTATCTAAATCTGCGAAGGAGTTTAGTATATTGAAATAATTAAACCTTTTATTTTCCAAAAGTTTTTAAGATTATCTAATCAACCTCTTGCTTCAGCCTTTGATCTTGATTATCTGATGAAGTGCTTGGTCAGCAGCTCAGCAAGCCAGACCAAAAGGGAGGTATGGCAAGTCTTAGCTCTCTACCAGGGAGGCAGGACATCTTGCTCTACTTCTGCTGTCTTAATCTCTGACCTGGCCACTCCTAATTCCAGCAGTGAGTTATGATCAAAGCGTAAGCCACAGGTTCTTAGAAAGCCTCGTGTTTATGTTGAATTATTTTGTTAGGAGAAAGCTACACTATTTTGAGTCCATCTGGAGGGGTTTTTAATTTTATTTGTAGAGACATAACTTAATTTCAAACAATTAAGAATGGGATAAGTCAGAGGCAGAAGATGGTAGGGACTGTACGTGATTGCAGAATGTGGAGCTTATATATTGCCACTCCTAGCTATAATAGGAAAAGCATGATAAAGAAAATAGTTTGTCTTCAGATTTTCTCCTATAAATGTCTCAGTCTCAACTGCAATAGGCTGTTTTGCCCCCTTTATTGTATTATCTTGCTTCCTGCCTTAATCTTGTCGTATTTCTTACACATCCAGGCAAGTGCTCTAGAGGGAAGGAGGCAAGAAGTAGACGTTTCCTTAACCCTTCCTCTGTGCTGAGGTGGTTTAACCAGGGTTAGGAAGAAACTTCAAAACCAGAAACCCCAGCAATCTACTTAGATGTCTACAACTTTGTTTTGTATAACTTGTTCTTTCCTTTCCTTTGGTGCTCTTGCTATATCTGTATTTCTTAGCCC